CATGGCACAGACACAATAGACGCAAACTGCTACACAGCACTAGCATCACGATCTCCTAGGAAGTCAGTGTCACTTAGTAGGCTCTTGAGATTAATCTGAACTGAGATTTGATAGCTTAAGACAAATTACATCTTCAGGCACCAGCATTTCTCAAACTGCCTATCATCCACAGTGCCTGCCTTAAAGATTTCTCCTTTTACACGCATAAATAATTTTAGGTTCCTGAAAGTCCAGCCACACTAGAATGAAAATGCTGTATCTGTCACTCTACGTAGACACATGGCTGTTCTTGATCATGGAGGGGCCTCAAAAGAGTCCCATGTACTTGCAATGTTGTCAACATTGTGCATTCTTATCTAATGATCCCTTTTTAGATGATTGGGTTGGCTTGAAACATGTGCCTCCAAGAAGCATGCTTCGCTTTTTTGTCATCATATTCCTTCCTATGTAAAGTGGAAGTACTTCAGGAAGTGTACTTGCCTGGGAGCTGTGATTAAAACAGCATTCTCTGAAGCTGCATTTTCCAAAGGAGATACTCAATTACGCTACGCGCAATACTATTTTAAAAACAATCATATTACCAGAAATATTTTAAAAGAAAACAAACAAAAAAGTGGAACTACTTGAATTTATGTCTACCTGCATCTTTGGAAGTTTTCAGTTCAAATAGCAACAGTTCTTTTAGCCTCTCTTCTGCACCTTGTATGGCAGCAATAGACACCTGTTAACAAATACAGAAATTATAGTAAAAAAATTGAGCAAAGTGCACCATATAAAGCAGAAGCCATGGTGTATAGCCTGCAGAATAAATACTGGTGGACTCAAGTGATTCCAGGCAGGGAATTACTGTGTAAAGGCAATGGATAGATCTACATAGTGCCAAGCGTACAGTCTGCAAGGGGTTGTCACAGCCTGGTTTTGTCCAGACATTCGAATTAGTCCACGCTCAGAGTCTCACCCATAAGTGCACTGCAGGGATTTGACAGTGAATTTCACCATGACAGCGCCCCCCAGACAGTGTAAACATGGCCTACAGATACAAATTACTTCAATATCATGAAGAAACATTATTACTCTGTCAAAGAGCCATTTTGGAAATGTGATGAAAGCCTCAGGATCCCTCGTCATTTTTCTATTCATATAGGCAATAAGAAATGTAAGTACTGACTATGGTTTGCATAAGAAGTGTAAGTGCACAGGAATGATGAACAGAGGCAAGCAATAATACACACAATTTAGTACTGTAAGCCACAGCTTATATACTGTGAGCCTCTGCACGGTGCTGTTTTTCACATAAACTCTAAAGGGTTCATTATTTAAATAATATTTTTGCATTTAGTCAATAAATAACACTGTGCAATACTACACCACTAAGTAACTTAGCAAAACTCTTGTTATCTATACTTACCACACTGTATTTCTCATGTTGTGGCTCCAAAGCTGCATCATCGTTTCTACAACAGTAGTAACGATGATCGTTTGATCTTGGTGAGCCAGGAGGGTACTTCCCCTCTTGCAATTGAGAAAAAAGTGAATAGAATTTAAAATCAATATGCAACAGCATAATAGGTTATGTTAGCTAATACAGGTTACAAAGATGCAATGGCAGGTCACATCATAAAGAAGTGTCTTGTATATACAGATGAGATAAAATTGAGGCAGCATAAGGAAATAAGTCTTTAAAGCTACCACTTTCAAAAACACAAGGTTCCTGTGAAGGGAAATAGGGATAATATCAAAAATCTGAAGGGCAAATTATGCCCTTATATCTCATTCTCTCATTAAAAAAAAAAAAAATCATGTATCCTGTTTTCTGAAAATAAATAAATAAATCAGTCTTAAAAATTCAGTAGTTAACAGAGCTAAAAGTATCAGTGCCAGGCAATATACAGCTCCACAAATCAGCGGCATTCAAATGTACATTTTTTTCCTCAAGACTACAGGGTACTCTTATGATGTACATTACAAAACCAACATACCTGTAACTTCAGTAGTCTCAACAGGAAGTACAGGGCCCATAGCACTGTAAGACTTCAGCAGTTCTTTCATTTCATCATCACAAGCTATATCCAAAGCACTTTGTCCTGAACCGGTCCTTTCACAGGGATTCGCTCCATGCTGTAGCAGAATCCTGGCTGCCTATTACATATTACTATTATTATTTGTATTGTGATTATTCTTGTTGTGGATTTATAACATATATGTTGTATCTACCATAAGTTGCAAATAATAGAGGTAGAAATAAGATACTCTAGAACCTGTTACACTTGCAATCCTAATTAAACAAACTAGTTTAATAGACTACTATCAACACAGAAATCATAGTTCTAAATTTTCCATTAAAATACATAAAAATTCACAACTTGTCATTAAACCTACCATCGTTACGGTATTGTTATAGAGAGCAAATCCAAATCTTCATATATCTAAATTAAAAGGAAGTGGCCAATGGTATTAAGATCAAAAATGCAGAAAATAAGTGATCTTTTTTTTTCTTTATGTATTTAATAGTGATTTTGTTTTTCAGTTATGTGCACTGATGATTTTTTTCCTAATTCTAAATTACTTGCAAGTCTGCTTAATTGTAAAACATGGCAAGGAGATTAGTGGCATCAGTGGAATAATCTACTGTCTAAAATTCAGATCATATCGAAGTACTGACGAGGTTAGAGTTTGGCTGGTAAAGAATTTTCATACGTATGATTTTACAACTTCAGCATTTTTTCTTACATTCAGAGAACTCTCAGGTATCAGAAAGTATCAGAAAAAGAATACCTTACAGAAGTTCAGAATCTTCTCCATGGATTTTCCCCCACTATACCAAATAATAGCTTACATATTTGCAAGAACCCTACTGACAGCTTGGCACAAGGTCTGTGAAATCATCCCCTTCATGTTATCTCTGCTCACAGAAAAGATAAATGTGATGAAATGCCAGCCTTGATAGCAACAGAAGTGGCATGTTTGAGCCAGTCTGGCATCACCTCTTTACGTCAAGTTCCCTGAAACTCACTGAGCCAAAACAACATTTTATTTATTTGTTCATTCAAACAAAAGGCAGACATTTGGCTGAGCTTGAGCAGTGCATTTATTCTATCAGTTAAGCATGGATTAAAAGCTGCTTCCATGACTTAAGTCTTCTCACCATGCTTCTTAGAAAGCCCAAGTCCATGTTCCGAGAAAGTGCCACCCTACATCTGGGGACCTAGGTCACAGTTCCACAGCTGCCTATGCCCACCTGTGCTGGCGTTGCCTTAATCCTACACCAGCTACAATGGGACACCCAGGTGCATTTGTTCCCTTACACTAGCATGGTTCTTACATGGGCTTGGGGGACTGGTCTAGACAGAGTCTTGCTTTTGTAAGATTAGTTTTCTGTCTGTTCAGCTCCCTATACTAGTTTTATCTGTGATCACTGAAGAGCTCATGACAACGCAAGGAAAGAGGTATACGTCCAGGCATGGGACTAAGGTAGGACTGCAGCTCTGCATCTTAAAGTGTAATGAAGCCACAGCCTAGCTGACTACACGCAAGACTTGTAGTCAGCAGGTCAAGGGAGGTAATTCTGCCCCTGTACTCTGCTCTTGTGAGACCCAAGCTGCAGTGCTGTGTCCAGCTGTAGAACCCACAAAGTCAGAGGGATATAGACCGGTTGGAGCAAGTCCAGAGGAGGCCATGAAGATGCTCAGAGGGCTGGAGCACCTCTGCTATGGGGACAGGCTGAGAGAGTTGGGCTTGTTCATCCTGGAGAAGGCTCCGGGGAGAGCTCATTGCAGCCTTCCAGTACCTGAAGGGGCCTACAAGGAATCTAGAGGGGGGACTTTTTACAAGGGCTTTTTACAGGACACGGAGTAAAGGGTTTAAATTGAAAGTGGGGAGGTTTAGATTAGATATCAGGAGGAAGTTCTTCCCAGAGAGGGTGGTGAGGCACTGGAACAGGTTGCCCAGAGAAGCTGTGGATGCCCCATCCCTGGAAGTGTTCACAGTCAGGTTGGATGGGGGCTTGGGCAAGCTTATCTCGTGGAAGATGACCCTGCACATGGCAGGTGGGTTGAACCAGATGATCAAATTGAGAATGCTCAATTTCAGTATTACATTTTAAAAGCCCAATACATGGGAGAGAACCTTGGGGAGCTGCTGAATTTTTTTGAGTTGTCTGCTGGATTGAAAAAGTCAACTAACTGTACAATTTCAATTGTCACTATTGAAAAACATGTCTTTCTCTAATTTTGATCACTCTAAAGAATATTGGCTTATTTCGTAAATGCAAATCTACACTGAAATTGTATTAGCAACTTTGACGTTCCATACATAAACCAGGATTTTGCATTGCTGACCCTCTGCTGGAAAGCAGGCTCAGGAAATCTAATGTAAAGGAAAAATGTACCTCCAAATAATTGCCATAAACAGCATCATGTATTGGCAAAATACCATCCAGACTTCTGCTGTTAACATCAGCACCAGCCTTCAGTAATTCGACGATCACTTCAGTAAATCCCTTACTGCAAGCTTCATGAATTGCTGTCCAACCTAAAAAAACCAAGATGACACATACAGCATTCATCTGATTTGGAAACACCCATACACATGACTAATTAGTGCTTATACATTTTGCTGTATTCGCTGTACTATAAGCAACGGACCACTTTCTTTAAGATAAATCTTATAGAAACAATCATCTTGAAATGCCAAGGTAAATTATTTCCTGTGTAATTCAGTTTACTTTTAAGAAAAATGTATCCAATATTAACCAGGAGAGTATCACTTACTTTTCAACTCACTACTAAAAATAATAGAAGAAACAAAATGATAGACTAGGCTCTAAAAAACTCAGAATCATAATATTAATAGTCTGATTTCTCTCACAGTGGCATTTTATAACATCAAGCCTGCCTGGCATCCCGAACAGAGTGGCATCCAGAACCCAGTACCATCCATTCCGAGACTGTAAAAACACAAATGTGTTATACATTTTGGCAGAAAAATCCCACACAGTCTTGTCATCTGATTTCTGTCCTCACTTCCTAAGGAAATAAGATATGTGTGAATGTGCTTCACATGTGTATATACTCATGTGCATATGCATTACTTCTCCCACTGAACTTTCAAGTCCACATTCCACACATATCCCTGAAAAGGTGCTCTTCAACAGAGGAACAAAACCTGATTAATGCCCCTGCTAAATAAAAGGCTGCCTCAGCTCCACACTGAGACACAAAATCCAGGGATTCACTGATTGTACTTGCACTTGTTGAATTACTTCCTTTTCTCCTCACAATTTTATCATAAATCAAGAATCCACAATTCTATTAAAATCATACAAACAATATATGCCCATATATACTATACGTGATATGAAATTATATCATAAAACAAGCCCCCAAGAGAGTAATATTCAAACCTGCATAGTCCTGTTCATTGACACAAGTTCCAGACAATATCAGAGTTTTCACCACAGACAAATCTCCTCTCCTAGCAGCAATATGCAGCCGAGTTTCCCCTTTTGCATTTCTCCTCTTCTTTTTCCCAGCTCTTGTATTCAAGGTACCATGTAAAATTACAGCTTCTTTTCCGGCAGACAGAGAGGATTCTAAACACATATTGGTTGTCCATTAGGAACCACAGAAAATGTTTCATTGTGAACAAAGAATTAAGCTTCATGACTCATTTGAATTAATGTAAATGTGTGCAATACTGTTGCCTCAGTTATTCAGTAACATTAACTGGCTGCATCAGAAGGTTAGAAGGTACTGTGTAACAGCTCAGATAAAAAATACGCAAAAAAAATTTACAGTTTAAATCTAGGTGACTTAACAGGGGTACAGTGGATTAGGGATCAATAAAAAAGATAAGGTCGAAGTTTTATATAGAGATCAGGAGTATGCTGCGTTTCTGCATGGACTGCTTTCAAGTTACCAGGCATGCCTGCTACATATATAAAGTGCACACACGAAGGTATTTAGGAAACTACACAAAAGGAGGACTTGACTATCACCTGTTTTCTGTTCCTGATTCTGTATCAGGGAAGAGATAGTTGTAAAAATACCTTATATAGAAACCTGTGATGTGAAAAAGTTAGTATATGATGAACATCTACTGGCAGAGCTGAACTGCCTTCTCATTAAATCTGTGCAGGATTGGACCCATGATTGTAAACAAACTTGATTGCATACTTCTCTTACTGGTTCACAAAGCAAAAACCATCCATTTTAAATCTTATCGTGTGTTCATCAGACAGGTCCTAAATCTGAGGCTTCAGGTAACACACATGAAATTGTAAGAGATACAAAGAAAAAAACCAGATGTAAAAAGTACTGATTCTGCATATGGAGTAAGGACAACCCCTTCCCTCAAACTGCTACCAGAAAAACAGCGTGTATATATCTTCAAAAACTCTAACATGCATTTTAGCTTTTTTTGTTAGCTCCTGTTCCTGCTGTTATAATACTCCACTATCAGTTTTGGGTTTTTTTTAGAAGTTCACTGTGTTCTTTCTCTCATTTCTTGAAAATCTGTAATTTGCCTGAAAAAAAGTATAAGGTTTTAAGCATTTTGCAACTCTTATCCATGGGGTTTTTTTAAAAATTATTCCTAAAACTAATTAATTGCTGTCTCCCACACATTTTCTCTTCTCATAAGACAAGATGCCTCTTCAAATATATTCAGTTATCAGTATCCATTGCTATCAGATATCTTCTATGATTTGACAGCTGCCTTTCTTCAGGCTCCTCCTGCTTTCTGGAAAACTTGCCTTTCCAAGGCTTCCTTTAAGGTAAACTACTGAAGTGGTCATCCAAGACTGTTTGGAAGAATATGAAAGACTTACTGAAACTATGTTAGTAACATATACAGTGAGGATATAACCATACTCATTTTAAACTAGCTTGTTCAGGCCCTGCTGCAGCCAGACCATGGCTGCATAGAGCTCACTGAAGGCTACTCTAACCTGTCAGAAAGCATTCAGGCAGCCCTCACCATATTGGCAACCAGAAGAATTTCCTTTTTAAATGAAAACTGAGGAGCGCACAGAGGGATCACGTTATTGAAATACTCCTTCAATCTGAGACCTACTTTTCCGTAAGATAAATGTATTACGTTTTGTCTAAAAGCTTCTGGGTCTGAACTCCCAAAGCAATCATCTGCTTTCTGGTTCTTCCTTTTCTTCCCCTTTGATTCATGGGAGAATGTCCTAAGGACTCTTTAGAGACATGGGAAAAAAAATGTGCACAACACCCATTAAGCTAACGACCCTGAGCAGTATCGGCTGCAAGTGAACAGAAATAATTGCAAAGTTTTCCAGTTAAGTTGTCATGCACAACAGTTTTCTTCATGGTCATTAGGAAATATTTGCAAAAGCATAATGGGACATTAGTATATGAATCACAAAATACTGGTTCTCCATGGAATGCATTGCCAGGTGGGTCATGAGCAGGAAAAATCAGGAACTTGGCCAATATAAAATTCAGTCAGCACACGTTCAAAGATAAAATGGAGAGATTACAGTAACCAGCAATCAGACTAGGTTAGGCTGCCATACCTCAACAACTTCAAGGATATCTCCCTTCAAAAAGACCCTTGAGTGTTCCAACATGGGTCTATAAATAATTCTTTCCACAGATTGAACTGTAAGAAAAGCAGCAACCAGTTTGTACCTTCCTTCTGCATAAGCACAACATGAATGTTGAGAGCCTAGTGACCGACTGTAGATGAAAGTGGCACCACATCATTTAGGAAGAAAAGGTTTTTATTCAAGAACAGAATAATGTAAGGAAGACCACTGGGACACAGGAACAATCAGATGAGATACAAAAGCTGGTTAATGAAGAAAAGACAGCAAAAAAAATCTGAAAACTCCCTCAGACAGAAAACATCCCATCTTTCACTTTTTTCTGCTGCAATGTGAATGCCATTGTCCTGGTCTTCAAAGCTATTAAAGCCTTCAACTGTACAAAAGGCTATGTTTTCTTGCATCACCTCTCAAACAGCAACATTGTCCTGGGATGAAGGAAATAGTTACATTTTAGCTGAGTAAAATACTACCTGAAGAATCTCCTTTGGGGGAAAAAGTGATCTGTGAAATGCTATTCCAGAGGAGACCAAAAGGTAAGACACTTACTTGGAATAAAGGTGGGTTTTTTTCTAATCATAATCATGTATCTATAGAAGGCAAAAAATAAAAAGGAAATCAAACCATAAATGTATTCATGCCCACAGACCTTATTATAAAGATCGAGCGGGAATATAGGAGCTACAAGAAAGGACATATATAGGGGAAGGAATAATCTCTATGTTCTGTGTTTATTCTTTCAATGATTAGCAGTGGATGATGACATGTATCAGATATGCCACAGATTTTTTTCCATAATGAAGTAAAAAACCTACAACAGGAGGAACCAAGCTGGAGATAGGAAAGCTAAATGATGGCACTGCCAAACAGCAGAGTGGTAAGTAACAACCAGCAACAACCTACTTATTACCTTCTCTCTTCAACTTCCAAATAAAGAATGAGCTTGCAATCTAGAAACTCAAGAGAACAGTAACTTAAGACAGGTTGAAAACTAGCAACTACCTGAGACAGGAAGAGGAAACAGTATTCTGTACAGCTGAAGTCAGAAGAGGACAAGAAACCTGTAAGAGAAAAGGA